AATGTTTATCTAGTAGAAAAAGTTGATATTACGTGTAGAAGTATGACGAATCTATTGCCCATTTCAGGTCAGACAAGAATTTGCGTAATAGTTTTACGTTTTTATCGTGTGCCGTTTTTGTAAATGTATAAACATGTAAGTGTATGCTGTAACGAATGATCGATTTTATATCGACATTACATATTTTTATATTGACATTGCATATTTTTATATTGACAAATAAAACTACTTTCGAATGCTATGGCGTTTTTAAAATGCAAGTCAACAAAATGGGGCGGATAATAAATTTTGAAAAACAACTATTCCCTTAAATAAACCAATTTTAAAAAGTTTAGCCCTATTAAAAAACTGAACTTCAATTTTTCCAAAAAAGCATTGGAATCCTACGACCCAAATCCCATTCCATATCTGCCTATGATACAGTATTTTTCTGTATAAAATGCAGTATTTTCATCAAGATTTTTAATTCAAAGAAAACTTTAATCAATACCCGAGACAAACGTACAATTCTGAGTCTTAGGTAAAAACTAAAGATATTGGAATCCTAATCTCGATATATCTACTTCCAGAGGCGTGCAAACATGAAACGTACTTTCTTAAGAAGGATTTATCTTCATGTGAGCGCTACTTCAGATGTACCAACCTCGGTCCTGACCTCGCCTACTTCTGTCCGTACGGTTACAGCGCTGACCCACAGGGCTATTACTATTGCAGATTCGATTACGGTTGTCGGGAATCGACAGGTAGCATAACTTATAGTGGCTTTCATGTCTTATATACATCATGACTTATAGCATTACATATAAAAGCTAACATGTTTTATGTCATGTGTAATATTATTACTTATAACAGCTAGCATAACTTATACACCGTGACGTATAGCATTACTAATAGCAGCTTCCATGTCTTATATTCATCATGACTTATAGCATTACATATAAAAGCTAACATGTTTTTATGTCATGTGTAATATCATTACTTATTACAGCTAGCATAACTTATACATCGTGACTTATAGCAGCTTGCTTCAAGAAAGATGTCTTCGATTTTTTTACAAGGACTATGAGTCTGATTATGATACTCTTTTAGACAAATCAGGCCTGCCCACCTTAACTCTAGGTAGACAAAGGCAGATAGCAATAGAAACTTTTAAAATCATAAATAATCAGTCTCCTAGTTACCTTAACGACATGCTTCAGGAGCGTACATCTAGTTACAATTTACGTCACAAAAATACTCTAAATGTTCCATCTTTCAATACTGTAACACATGGCAGACACTCTTTTAGAGTTGATGCATGCTTTATATGGAACAATCTACCCAATGATCTCAGAAATTGTGTATCTCTTACAGAGTTCAAAAAACTAATTAAATCATGGAACGGTAAAAACTGCAAATGTGCAATATGTAAATGTAAAATGTAAACCTTTCAGATTCTCTGTGCCACTATGTAAATGTATTTTAGCATGACATATGATTTTTTTAGTATTATCTTGTTAACACTGTTACATGTTTTAAAATTTTATTTTAAAGATTTCTATGTCTATATGTCGGTCAATAGCGCTTGCGCTAATGTTTATTGTACAAAAGTTATCCGACTTGAAATAAATATTAGAGAATTTTCGTTATAAGTTTTTTAAAAACGTATACGTATACTTATACTTATAAACCCAATAAACAAGGTGTTTCATAATTTCCTAATTCGTCGGGAAATATTTCCTAGGACGGTAATAAAAAGGGCCAATGGCATACCATCCGTACCCCCTTGATGTAAAGCATTTTTAGTTGTGTCATATGTGTTTTCTAGAATCAAATAGGCTGATATAGCACACGGGTTTTACAGATTTATCTACTCTCAAATATATTTTTTGTAGATGATCGTTTTGAATCACCTTGTAGAAATAACGAAGGGAGAATTAGTTCAGCTAATGAATGAGTCGAGCTGTTTGATTGGATAGTATGCCTATTCAGCCGATTAATTTTAATAAGCCATTCTGGTCAGTAGGTCCACACATATGCTATGGGGAGATCCAACTCTGTAAGTTTATAATCTGCGTATAAAGGCCCTTTTATACGTAAAAACTTAAAAATTGACCTTATAATTTCATGAGAACTTTGAAATGATCGACTCGTTCGTGTAGTGATTCACTTTAAAGGGTCTTGTTTATCGTACACTACAAGGACCCGTCAACTAGCGTTTAGTTTATCGTGTTCATAATTGACACTAGCACAGGACATTGTATTCGCAGTCCCTAGTTGATGATGGAGCTTGACTATATCGGGAATAGTTATGCCCCACTTGGTACAGATTATGAAAATCAATTTGAATTGATTTTAGTTCGACAAGACCCTTTAAACTATAAGTATACGTATAAGTTTTTGAAACAACTTATAACGAAAATTCTCTATTGATATGATATGATATGATATGATATGATATAGCTCACGTCATATCATGTCTCATTTACTAAACGTCATGCCATTTATCATTGTTCGTAGCAGCTAGCACCTCTGATATATACACAGTATAATGATCACGATAGTCTCGTAGCCTTTAACCTGACAATCATAGAAAAAACATTGACAAACATTTAAATCAGCAAAAACTGGTACATATCACTAAATGTCAGTTCTTATCTGCTATGTTATGCTTGAGTATAATATGTGTACCTTCCCAGTTTATCTGGGATATTTTATAATACAAATTGATAAAAGAGTTTGATTTGTTGCAGATGCACCTACCTCGACAGCAGATGCGACAACTGAATCAAAAACGAAAGATGTTACAAGTGAATCTAGTACAACAGGTATGACAACTGAATATGTTACTGAAGGTGTGACAACTGTATTTTCTACTGAAGATGTTACAACTAAATCTGTTACTGAAGAGGTGACAACTGAGTCTATTACTGAAGATGTGACAACTGAATCTGTTACTGATAATGTGACGACTGAATCTGTTACTAACGATGTGACGACTGAATCTGTTACTAACGATGTGACAATTGAATCTGTTACTCAAAGTGTGACAACTAAATATCTTACTGAAAATGTGACAACTAAATCTGTTACTGAAGATATTACATCTGAATCCGTTACTGATTTAACAACTGAATATGTAACTGAAGATTCAACAACTGAAACTGCTACTAAAGATGTTACGACTGCATCTATAACTGATGTTACAACTGAATCTGCTACTGACGATGCAACAACTGAAACTGCTACTAAAACTATCACGACTGAATCTATTACTGATGTTACAACTGAATATATAACTGAAAATGTTACAACTGAATCTGCTACTGACGATGCAACAACTGAAACTGCTACTAAAACTATCACGACTGAATCTATTACTGATGTTACAACTGAATATATAACTGAAAATGTTACAACTGAATCTATTACTGATGTTACAACTGAATCTGGAACTGAAGATGCAACAACTGAATCTGTTACTGATTTAACAACTGAATCTGTAACTGAAGATGCACCAACTGAAACTGCTACTAAAGATGTTACAACCGAATCTATTACTGATGTTACAACTGAATCTGTTACTGAAGATGCAACAGCTGAAACTGCTACTAAAGATGTTACAACTGAATCTATTACTGATGTTACAACTGAATCTGGAACTGAAGATGTTACAACTGAATTTGTTACTGATGTTACAACTGAATCTGTAACTGAAGATGTTACAACTGAATATATTACTGATGTTACAACTGAATTTGGAACTGAAGATGTTACAACTGAATCTGTTACTGATGTTACAACGAATCTGTAACTGAAGATGTTACAACTGAATATATTACTGATGTCACATCTGAATCTATTACTGATGTTACAACTGAATCTGTAACTGAAAATGTGACAACTGAAACTGCTACAAATGATTTTTCAACTGAAGATGTTACAACTGAATCTGTTACTGATGTTACAACTGAATCTGTAACGGAAGATGTTACAACTGAAACTGCTGCTAAAAAGATTACGACTGAATCTGTTACCGATGTTACAACTGAATCTGTAACCGAATATGTTACAACTGAATCTAATACTAATTTTACAACTGAATCTGTGCCTTGATTGAAAGTGAAATTTTTAAGATGTCTTGATTACCCGATATATTCTTCATGTGGTTAAATGCTGATTGATTGAAATGTGAGAACCGGAACACATACTATCCTTTCTGATCAACGGACATCAGGCATCGAACCAGAATCTCATACTATATAGTCATTCCAAATGTTGTCCGGAGTCCTCGTAAACCTTGCAACGTTGACCCTATAGCCATTCCAAAACGTTCTCTTGAGATCATGTTAACCCTCACAAACATGGTTTTGTGAAATCATGTTGCGATCGCAAAACATTGCACTGGGGTTGGGTACACACTGAAAAATGTTGCACTGAAATCATGTAAACGTTGCAAAGAACTGCCTGAGAGTATGCTACTTTTGAAATCTTAACTAAGCATATACCTCATGCTCATCACGTCGTACAACCGAAAGTGTACAGCGTGTTCTTGGCTTATTGGCAGTTTTATTAGTATTCATTTAATTTGATCTTTGGAGAGAATATGAGCATTTGCCTCTTAAAGAAACATCCACCATTACATGCTTTGTAGATAATTAGTCGTCGCTACGTTACATATCAAAACGGTCTATATTAACTTCTCAAATGTTTTTTTGTAAGTACGACAGCAGTATGAGCTCAATCAATGTGGAGTGTTGAAGAAATTAACGATATTATCAGTATACAATGGTGCTCGCTCGCACCCCTCCCCCTATAACCAAGAAAATATAAGCATGAGAAAAAAGAAGAAAACAACTTTAAAATGCTTTTAATTTGAAGTTTCTAGCTCAATTTAAAAAGGTGCTGCATCAATTTTTGTAAAATTCCCAAAAATCTTTTTTGGGTTCGTTTATGCAACAAAAGCACCCCCTGACTGAAAACCAAAATATTTTTGGAGATTGCATCCCCCCCCTTGACTGGCCTGACTACGCCCCTGACGCCCTTTAACATTATTTTACATAATAATTTGTTTTGGCTGAATTCGTCGACGTACCTTGTGATTTGTGATTTGATTGCATTTTGAAAGGGCTTTATTCGCCGTCATCTTGTGCTTATGGCGTTTGATTGAGTCGTGAACTAACGCCACTAATGATTATCTTGCCATGCAAATTCCAGAAACGTTGTTCATCCGTTTGAAATTTAAATATTTACCAATCAATGGCAGAGTAACACCAACATGTGATTACAGGATTAGGCAGGATCGGTTAATTACTTGGCAGCCATTTTGAATTTTTCGATAAATAGATAAATAAAAACTGCGATGGCCTATTTATTACCTTGTGTGATATCACTTTGTGTAGAATGTCAGTCTATTATTGGTCGAGGTACACGATTTTGATTTATTCTAGGCACATAGTTAGAGACTGGGACTCTTTAAAAACTGGCCATTGACAGCATCTTTACCTTGAATTCTTTGATGCGATGAAGTTGCATATTACTTGTCATAACAGAAGAAAATGATTTTTTCATATCTAGATATACACATTTATTTTATAGTACTTTGTATTAGCATACACGATTTTGAAATAAATAACTACTTAATAAATATAATTTTAATTTATGTACATGTTCTGCGCATGCGTCAGACCTACGGGATGGATTTGCTTCCTGACATAGGTGTTATCATGGATTCATTCAAAGGGGAGGCCGAATGGTGAAAGGAGGAATGAGAGGGGGGTTATGGAGTAAGAATATTTGAGGTTATTGACGAGAATGTGGATGGGGGGGGGGTGAAGAGTAGAGTGTGATATACGAGGTAAGAATGACAATGAAATGAACCAGGAGTCCTACATCTGTATAGGGATGGAGTCTGGTTTTGAGTGGTAAGTAAATCGAATGGGCTCATAGATCGAAGCCTTCTCCTTCCGAAGAGAGACAAGTGCAGTTTATACAGGGTGAGCCAAAAAATAACCTAAACAAGTTTTCATAACTCCGTCTTCCAACGTGAATTTGAAATCATATTAGACATAATTGAACCTTCTTCAATGTCCTCTGATTCTATCAAGGTTCATTGCTCTATTTTGAATTGACGCGATTTTACGGCCATTTTAATAAACATGCTCCAAATGCGAAAAAATCAGCCGATACAGTTAGTTAGTTAAATATTTATTATAAATATTCTAAAACGTTTATTTTTGGAGCTTTTTCAAAGATATTGCCCACACTTACAACTCTAGAAGCATGGACTTAGTGAGATTTGATTCATGGGCCTCATGCGAATCTACCATTCGCCTTGACCCCCCCCCCCTATTCACGAAACAAGCCCAGGCCGAGAACAACCCCCTTTTCTGAAAGATCAACAAACCAAAGGCTAGGAACGAACCCCACTTTTAAGAAAGATTTTTCTCGAATAATGAATCACGCGTTTATACTAGCTATTTGATGAGTCATACTATATTCTGTAATTTGGTTGGTTTGTTAAAACCGTTGATGGCTTGGGGATCACGTCATTATACCGACGCGTATTATTCCGAAACCCATTATACCGACGCGCATTATACCGAAACCCATTATACCGACACGCATTGTACCGGAAACCAACATAGGCCTACCGATGCGCGTTGTACCGAAATCCGTGCCAGTGGGACGGCACATTGCCTTAAACTTTCAGTTTATATGCACTTCTGCGTGGGACTATATCTTTACAGCGGAAATTTCAAGTTTTTGTCAGCGTAGACATAAAAAGTTGCGGTCCTCATACTCGCGCAAGAGCGGTGCTTTGAATCTAGCTCTATACTCTTTAACAAAACGTCATGTAGACACATGATTATGTACATGTATGATAGTGCACAGTAATATTATATATTCATAGAATAATAAAAGTGGAGCCTGAAAAGTCAAATATGGTGCTATGTTGAAAAGCCAAGAGAATTTATACTGTATCAGAATATAAAATAGATAATTTATATATTACTTTATCATACATCTTGGTTCAAATTATACATGTTTTTTTCATTGAACAGACAAGTCTTGAAAATTAAAAATTCATTTTTATTTTCTTCCACAATGCTAGGCGTTTCGGATTGAGGGGTCGTCTCAACAATCTTAATTCCAGTTAATCAATTTCTGTATTTCATTCTATTACTGATAATGTAATAGAATTATCACAAAAGTGGAGAAAGTCATAATTCTGTTATTTTTGTTTGATTATGGTAAACATATAAATAATTGTGCTATTAAATACAAAGTTTTGCATTTCTTATTGAACTTGATAATTACTGTATTTTCGATCTTGTGCTGATGGGGCCAAATATTGTTGTCATGGAGAGAGAGCAAGATATGTTGTCATGGAGATAGTAAGAAACGCACTCATTTGTTTTACTTTAAATCTTTACAAATCCAAGTGTGATTTTTATCAATGTGTGTGGCCCAATGATCCCATTAATTCTGAAGTTATTTCGTTTTCTAACCATTTCACAAACATTTCTTTTCATATAATACTTCTTAATTGGCATCATTTCCATGTTTAAATTGCTTATATTGTTTTTGGCTACTGATATTATCTCTATCATCAGTTTTCATTCCGCAAACGAAATATCAATTATTTTGCCCAATATTTCAGTTTCATTATTTTGAAACATTGAATACATGTTTTAATTGGCAGTTTAAAATGGTGCTCATTAACTAAGTCCAATATTCAGCGTCCCTTTAATATCTATTTAGGGGCAAATCTAGGCTTAGCAGGTCATCTGATTCTCAATTTGATTTTGATATTGCAGCTGTGTGTGTTGTGTTTTCAAGTGTTATTTTATATATGTCCGACAAATCGAATTATGGTTTTGATACTATCTAGATGTATTTAATAGTATTTATATGTCTCGTTCATTCATTTGACCAATAAAAATCATAACTGCCTGGAAAGTAATATGAATAAAGTATGTAAATAAATGAATTAAAACGTCAAATTAAGAAGCAAAAGTCTTTTCTGGGTCACTGCGAATGGCATGATTTCCTCGAGTCTCTTCAGTTGCAAGGCAACCATACTAGGACCGATTCGCGTCGTTCCACTACTGCCCTTGGTGGGGGCCCGCTACCATACTATATGACTCCCGGAGTTTACTAAAGCACGTTAGTGGAGGAACCAACCACAGTCTCACAATCTGTCTCCGGCAAGAGCGGCCAGAGAACCAACCCATGCCAAGGGCCGGTAAACGGTTGGACCTTCGGACCGGGTGTCCGTAGTGACAATGATCAACAACTCCGTACCTGGGGCTCGAACGCGGGACCTCCGTATCCCACGACGTTCAACCGCAAAGTAGCCTCAGTCTACGCCACTAGGCTACCCTGCTTAGGTGTCAAAACTGCTAAAAAATAATGTAGTTGTTACAATTATTTGCATGAATAAATGATTAATCTGATTTAGTTGGAATCGAAGTTCGACAAACGATCAAGGCAATGCAATCAACAACTCTTGCAAATGTGAACGGGAGTCGTAAAGACAGAAGGTATACAAGAATCGTGATCAATGTAAAGTATATTTAAGACACATCTTTGAATAACGGGTAGGAGAAACATTCCAAAATGAAGAAGAATCATTTAGAACATTTGATTTGTTGCCAATATATAAATTGCGTCTCAAATGAATGAAATAAAAGGTATCGCGGGCCACTAAAGCCGATGAGTGAAAACAATTATCACTGACACATCTAGATCGCTCAAAATAACGGCAAGTGAATAATATGTTTGTGTAGATACGTCGAGGAAAATAAGCTATTTCGACGCTTGAAATAATCTGATTACGCTTATTAATAATTACGCGTGGCTATTAAACACAAGTGTTGTGTAGAACAAAAACAAGAAGACTGAACGACCGATTAAGGAAAGTATTTCCGCATGTTCAAAAACACAACATTTATATTTTACTTAGGCTATCTATATTTTGTCAGATATCTTCAATTCATATTACAGGGAAAACATAATCATGTTTCCTAAAAGAATTTACACTCGCTACTCAAAATGAGCCACGGACACAAGTACAGAGAATAGCCTAGTGAAGGCATCTATCTAATAGTGGCTTTTCCATATAGCTTTGAAATCTCGTTAAGGTCTCATTTTAATGAGATTTTAGGAGATCTGCATTTTTTAACCACTTAAGACTAACATTTTCTTCTATTTGAATTCTGTGTGTAATTTTCTATCAAAACAACTTAGTTTTTGCACTGTTATTTACCTCTGTGCAAATTCTAGAGA